GAAACCTAGTGCGCTGGCACTGCAGTGATTGAAGAGAGTGTCAGCTTGATTGTTTACAAGGTAAAGCCATGTGATCTCGGGTGATCTCATTTGCATATGTGCTATTCACATGCGCTATTCAATGCTATTCACATATATATCTATTCATAGATATTCATAGAATGTTTGACATCTACTGTGCTGCAATGGTTTGTTTAAACATGTTTAAGCATGTTTAAACACATCAAGACACACACAAAAAAGATCGATGAGGTGAAATTGGCCAACAGATCTTCGGCGAGACCGGAAAAACGGACGCGAAAAACGGCACGCAGGGACACGTGGCTGGCCTTCGGATGCGTGTTGCTATCCAGACGTGCCTTAGCAATCCTTAGCAGGAGTCAGCAATGTGATTCCATTGAGCAGGTATGGGCATGGACACCCTTTTTGTACAGACTTGGCCGTTTGCAGGCAAACGCTGTGTTCAACCCATTCACGCTCTGTGATGCAATGAGCTGACAGTTTGGTAGGAAGCCCATGCGCATGGCGTTTCTAGGCTTATTGGTCGCTGAGTGCGGTGAAGAGAGTAGCAGAACGTGAGTGTCATGGAGCCTACAGTAGAGCCTGCTGGACTGAGTAAGTATACAGAATGGACACCATTGCACACCTGTTGGTAGGTAATTAGTCCCACAGTCCCACTTGATTGAAGCTCCGAGCAGACGTGGATGGGGCCTGTTATGTTGCATCGCTTGCCCAGGATTGTGTACAACCACTGCCAAAAGATGCCAGCGGACATGATCACCAGCTTGCAAAGCCCTAGCAACCTCATGTCCATAGACGCAGATGCTCAGCTTTTGCTTGACATGTTTGTGACTGTTAGTGGTTCTAAAAGGAGTTGGACTTGCTACTATGGTGTTAGTAGATAGTGTGTTGTGGAAGGTGGGCTTTGTTACTATTGGATCCTCTCTGATGGAATTGAACTATTGCAGTTTTCCGTTCATGGTCACTCAAAGCTCGTGGTCACCCCCGTTCCTAGGAACGGCCGCATCAAATGTTCTCCATATTGATGCCACACGCTTTCGTGCTGGTGCTTTCCTCAGCTCAGCCCGGAAAAGAGTTCTCCCGTTTTTGTCGGAGCGTGGGTTGGCCACCACAGGCAGGTTGTAGAGAAAAGTCCCTTTGACCATTGGACCATTTCTAACAAGTCTACTATGGAGGAATGCCATCTTGCATGTACAGGTCAAATGACCATGGAACGTGGTGCTCTTTGGATCGGACGGAGCTTCCGAACTCCACTCCCGAGGTGATCGTGCTTCCGATCCTCCTGATCACCATGCTGGGCGTGGCCACTTGTTCCGAACTTTTTGGCATTTGGACAAGACGACATGAAACAACACCTATAGTGGGCAACAACCTCTCAACCCACATCATAGTAGGCACAAACCGGATCGAGAAGATGAGAGGGTTCTTGTTGCGTCGATTTTGGAGACCCTGACGGTACCATTGTTTCTGGTGAAACATGGTGAAACTGTTAGCGCTCGTGTGATGTGCCTCAGTAAGATGCCTAACTGGGTTGACATTGTTGATAGCTGAGTTGAGTGAGCAGCTTGCAGAGTGACTAAGGGGCTTATTCCCATACAGCAGTGGCTGAGAAAGGGAAGGTTCTGTCCTGAATCCATCGACGAGAACAAACTCACCCATAGAACGCCGTTGCCACAGGAAAAAGACAAAACATAACAAAACTAAAATATATGTCCTTTGACAAACGTCAATATATATATATATATTATATATACATCGTTTCATTCATGTGTCGTGCCCCTTTAATCGGCTGCCCAGATTTCATGGCAAGAAGGTACCAACAATGCAAGATATGAAGAACCTGGAAGGGGCGTTAACACGGTTTACATGACAAGCGGCGCCTGGAAGACCACACTTTTTTGAATTGGTCGGAGATCACTGTGTAATGTACATAATTTGGTGCTAGAGACTCTAGACCAGAACTTTTAGCACGGACACGATTGCCTTTCAAACTATTCGGCTCCAGGCTCATGCGTCGCCTGCATGTTATCGCGCGTTCAGCGGACTCATGGACATGTTTGTGTATTATACTGTCATGTTTGTGGAATGGATCGGGCAGCTTGTGGTTCTGTTTCATGGCCATTCACCACTTCGTTCCCGCCATCAGCTCAAGCACAAATATGTAGAATCTAATACAAACTGAAAGGAATCTCTTCTTCATGATGTGCACGCCTTGGGTCAGTTTACACGCCAAAAGGGTCGGCTCATCGCACTCTCGCAGCGAAAAGCGAGGTTCCAGCGCTTTTTTGCTTGTTGAGCTGTTTGGGTGCCGTGGATGCAAATGAAGGAAACACATATTGTAAAAGGCGTGAACACAACATATATGGGTGTGTATTGAACTAGGGGGACTCCCAAAGCCTGGAAGAAGCAAAATAGATCAGTCTACCCGACCCATTGGTTGGGAAGTCCCCCTATCAAAACACACACCCATTATGCCATTATATATGTATGTATACATAATTGGTATGTATTTGTCTTATTTGTGTGTTTATATTGGTGGGCTCAACCAAGTGTTGTAGGTTCAGCTTGTTTGAGCCGGTGGGCATCCAGCATGTTTGATCATGTTGGAGGGTACCAAGACCTTCACATCAATGGTCCATCCGTTTGAACATGCAACATCATGATTCAGTGATTCAGACTATGCATGGCCATGCGTGGCTCAAAGCAACAAAAACAAGAGAGCAATGACTGGTTACTGTGTGGCCCAAGGTTTTACACTGACATTAGCTGTGCCAAGTGGAGCTGTTTCACTTCGGCCGCGACAAAAGTTCGCCCCCAAACCCACATCAGTCCTTGGGGGGTTGGGGTCAGTCGGTGCATCCCATGGACGCTGTTTTGGGTTCAAACCACGCTCCTCACATCATCATGCCGCTGCAGGAACACTCCAGGCCTCCAAGCTCATCAGCCGAAGGATTGTCCGCGCCCGGCGTCCGGGGGCGCCCAGAGTGAGCATAGAGTTCGGGTGGAGATTGGAGAACCAACGCGGGCTCCTAGAATGTCCTATAGCTGCAAGACGTAGTGAGCACTTAGAGTGAGCACTTAGAGCACTTTTCGGGTACAGACGTTTTGGACCACTGAACAAATATGTGTGCGGAGGTCTGGAGCAATGCAAACAAGATCTTCTTCGGGGAGTGAGCAGCATTTTGGTGTGTGTCCTGCATTTGTTTGAGTGACTAGACCCTAGAGTGTAGTCGTGGGACTGCAATGATCCAAGTGCTCTTGAGCACATGAGCTTCAGGGCTTAGGCGGAGAGTTTCCTACCCCAAGAGCCGTGTCGTTGTGGCACTGCGTTCCTTTTTAGTCAATTGGAATTGAAACGGTCCAAAAACGGGAGGCCTCGATCGGGCGGGGTCATAGGTCAGAAGCATAAGAATGGGATTTTGCAGGCGTTTCTGAGGATCAAATTCATCCGCCATGGCTTATCCCGGCGAGGGAATGGGCCCCATGGGCGGCCCTATGGGCGGCCCCATGGGCCCTATGGGAGGCCCTATGGGGGGGCCCATGGGGGGCCCCATGGGGTGGGGCAAGGGTGGCGGGTGGGGCGGGTGGGGCCCTGGTGGTGGGGGTGGCAACTTCCCAGCAGCTTGCAACGTCTACGTGGCCGGAATTCCGGAAGCGTGCACAGAGCAGGAGTTCAGGGACTTCTTCGCCCAGTATGGCACTGTTGCACAGATAAAGATTCGGCACTTGATTGTGATGTAGTTTTGTGTAATTAAACACTTTGCACCTTTCCTGGTGGATGGTCAACATTAGAGAACATTAGTGTCACAAGATTGCAGGATGTTCGTGGATGGTAGCACTATGTAGCACTAGCGCATCACGTCTCCCAAAGTCCTGCAGCCTACGGACGTTGACACTCCGGAAAAAAACAATGGAAGTGGAAAAGGGCCCTTGGATCACTTTCCTCTACAAACAGGTGGTTTTCCACTTCCATGACTGTTCCAGGGAGAGTAGTAGAAGCAGAAAATTGATAGCGTCTCCTTCGCAGCCAGTCCAAGGTTACATCCACAAAGCTGTCCGAGCAGTCCAAGAATGGCACCAGGCGGGGCGGGGCGTGTTAAGCTTTAGCCGCAGTATGCCAAAGCGCGCGGGACATGTCTTATTCTTCATGTCCTATTGTGGTTATGGCTCCAACAGAGGGTGCCATCCAAGCCCACAGGTCTCCATTGTTGCTCTTAAAGCCAAAGCCCACAATTTTGCCCGGAAATCTGCCAGACCATTGAGTCGGATTTCTTATGGGCCATCTCTTTGTGCAGATTAGTAGCTATATATATATATATAGTAATTGTACCTGCAGCAGGTGCATGTTCTTCAGCTTCCCTCCCCACCCTCTTTCGCCTTCCCACCGACCTCTTCCGTGCTGCGCCCATCCAGGTACGGCTTCGTGAACTTTACCGCGCCGGACGAGGCGCAGCAAGCCATCCAGACCACCAACAACATGCAGTTCGGCCCCTGCACGTTGACCGCCACTGGGAGAATCTTTTCGGCGGTCTCGGTGTCGGTCTTGGTGTTGGGCGTTCTTGGGGTCACGGAGGGTGGGGGAAAGAAGGCACGATTTTCATCACTGGATACTCGGCTTCACAGATTCGAGGCTTTGACCTGACTGCTTGAGCTTTGCGGCCTCCTTCCAATGATTTCCCATGTAAAGCGGGGTAGAGTTAGTTTTTTTCTTGTGATATCTTGTGTGATGTGAGTAAGCCAAAGGGGAAATAGATGAATGAATGTACCCTGAGAAGAGAAAGACATACAAATGATATATATATATATACGTAATCCCTCTTTTTGTGCCTTCTTGGTAGCTTGGAGTTGTGTGCTGCTGGGTGCCCAGGTGAGGCTGGCCAACAGCAACAGCAAGGGCTCTGGCAAAGGGCCACCTCCCGGCGGGAGCATGGGCATGGCCCTTGGCGGCCTGGAAGGATGTCCACCGAATGAGACGATCATCATCAAAGGCATTCCAACACTCCCGGCGTTGCGTTGGGGAGAGTGGGTCTATTGAGTGGAGAGGCGTCCTGAGGACCGGTTGATATCAGTCTTAGTGTTTTTCGTGCAGACGCTAAGAGCGCGAAGGATCGGAAGGCCCAGGGTTATTACAAAACAGCTTTGCAGGATTGTACAATCATCACCCTGCAGATACACCAAGAAACATGTGAGGATGAAGGTCAGGGTATTGCTCTTTTCTTTTTTGATTGCCCCACATCCAAGCATCCAAGACACTCTTTATGTTTGGCTTGGCCGTAGAACCTGAACTCTCGCATAAAACATATTATATACGTATTGTTTGGCAATTTGGATCCATTTGGTACTTTCACTTTGTTTACTCTAGAGACTACTGCTTCGGATGAGTTCGTGTGGGGCCGCCGGTGCCCCATGTCGTGTTTTCAGCCCGCAACGCAGGCCTGTCGGCCACGGTGACCGAGGACTTTTGGTCATGTTCATTGTTTTTCACTTTGCAGTGGCTGGGGCAGAGTATTCAGAACACCCCCCTACGCTAATATCATACTAATATAGACTAATAAATATACATAACTATATATATATATATTATATGAAGGCTCTAAGACGGGTTATATGCCTGAGGTTTCCCTGAGAACGATATTCAAATCGTTCAGGGAGTAGTGGTCGTAAACTAGTCGCAGTCAACCTCAACGAACCAGATCGGCCAGTCAGGAAGGCGTGAAGAAGGCTTTCTCGGCGTATGGGCAAGTGAATCAAGTGAAAATCCTGGATTCCTACGAAGGCTTCTCACTGGCTTTAGTGGCTTAGTTTCTGTAGCAAACTTTGAGTGCCTGTTTTGTCCTCAAAAGCTGGTGGGACACCGGACTGAAGCCCCAGCACAAGCACACTGGCGCTGCTGTGAAGGTAAAGATGGCCACGACAGAGCAGGCGGAATGGATCGTTCACAAGCTGGATGGGAACATCCCTCACACGCTGGAGACTCCAGTGGATTCTTGAAAGTGCTCAGCAGATTCCTTTTCAGGTGGCAGAGCCCTTTTCTAGAGCAGGGATCAATTGCATAGACGTCCCAGGGCTCTTTTGGATGATTCCATTCTGTGCGAGTGCACGCGCAAAGTTATTTATGCAATTAATTGTTGATAGTCTTGTCGACTCATTGGCACCTCAGTCGACAAGGTTTGGTAGACATCAGTGTTGCCACTCCAAGGATGTGACCTTCATGCCTGCCAGTGGTGCACCACTTAGATGCCTGATTCGCAAGATTTTTCTGATCAGTTCATGTGTTGCCGACTTTTTGTCACCCCAGAGAAGCAGCTATGTAAATGTAAATGTTATGGGGTATTGATTTTTCGGATTGCTTTGATCCACTGTCGGGTTGTGAAGGTTGCCTTGAATGGGCCCAACCATGCCCTGTAAAGACACCTGGCTTAAATCCAAAGTGATGATTTATATAATAAGGATTGGCCATAAACAGTCTTGGGGATTTGAGCCCAGGGTTCTGAGGGGGTCTAAGCATTCTGAAGGCCTGAAGTAGTCGTCTTTCCTCACCCAAACCGGTGCCCATGTCCAGACACAAAGCTCCCTTTGGGCGTCAGAGAAAGCGTAGCGCGGCGCCGGCGCCACTCGTCGCACGAGTGGACCACCAAACCACTTCGTCCACCAAGCGCCGCCTAGGGGCGGCGCATGGCTGTGGACTCCAGGTCGAGACCTGGAGAGGAGATGTCTTCGCTTTCAATCAAATCAACCCTCAGGGTGCCTACTCTGGAGCTCAGCATTGCCCCAGGCGTCCTAAACGACAGCTGCTGCACCTGACCTCCGCGCCTGACAGAAAGACAAGTCAGGAGGAGTCACACTCAGCTCGACACACACACACACAGAGTTATGAACAAAGACGCTAAGTTGGTGAAGGAACGACACAAAGTACCAACAACTCATGATGTTTTAAACAAGAGCCGAGGGCACCGGGCACCGTAGGGTGGTCATAGGACATCGGGAGACATCGACGCGATGGCCAAGGACATTTGTTGGCCAATCCCAACGCCCCTTTTGGCGACAAGGAGTCCTGGATTGACCAGGAGTGCTTGGTATTATGGGGGAGGCAGGGGGGAGGCATGGCAGGAGTGCTTTGTCTTCTTGCTGTGCCCTGCCTTTTTGGGAGGCAGGGCCTAGAAGATGACACTATGGCCAGACGTTCCAAAGTTGCCGGTATGGCCTAGGCCTAGGTATACATATATATATATATGTGCATGTACATGATATAGATATAGATGGTATAGCAGCAAATGTCAGTCATATGTACCTACCAGCAGTTGGGATAGGGAACGCTTGGTTTCATTGTAAGAGAGGGAGGGGGATATGCTAAGGAGTCTTCAAGTCCTGCCACTCCAGAGTTTCAGAAAGCCGTCAGCGTCGCTTGGATACGGCATCGGTGCAGGAAGGATTATATATATGGGAAATAGTATGGGAAATCCTTTGTGTAGTTTATAGAATTTTCCTTTTGGTGTTGAAACACATTCGAAGCTTCGAGCGATATCCAATGGGGCTGGGGTGCGAGATGTCGTTTTTTTCTGCAAAACTCGTGGTCCTTCGTGGTCCATGAGATTTGGCTGAAGATTTTTGAGAAAGCACAAGTGCAATCAAATGTGGACCATGTTGAACAACTTTGATGTCGTTGGGTTTGGTCCGATGACCCGTCTCAGTTTCAGTGGTTCGACTTTAGTTGTTCTGGGTCCACACCACTGCCACAGGAGTTCCAAAAGGGTGAAAAGGAGTCTCACACTGCAGATACACTTGCCAGATTGTACAGAAAGCAAGGAAGGGGCATTCGGCATTGCCACTGATGGACATGCGTAGAGTTTTCACCAATTGTGATGCCTTTGGACTCACTTCGTCCCCAAGTGCCTTTGAACGAAGGTCCTTGAACTTTGTATACTTTGTGTGTGCGCGTATGTGTGGCAGGGGGTTCTTGACCGCACTCGACCGCTGTGGGATCAGCTTGGTTCGGCCCATGCGAGACGCACACTTTCGGGTTTTATCGGAGATACATGGAGAAGTGACATTACTGTAAGTGACCACCTTCCGCTTTTAGGTAGATTTGTACTATTTTTGTCATGATGAGATGATCTCAGACGATCCCGAGCTTTGCATCACCTGTTCCCATCTCTTCGTCACCTCTTCCCATTTTCCATTCCCAGGACACCATCGCCGGCGTCAAGGGCTTTAAGTCCATGCCCTCCGAGGAGGATCTCCCAGACCCGACCTATTTGTTAGTGAAAGGTTTGGCTCCCGAGATCGATGAGCTGCACCTTCGTCGTGTCGGGATGGATATGGGGGATGGGTATGCATCCGGTCCGGTGCATGTTTGGTGTGTGTGTGTGTTTTGTCGTTTTTTGGGGCTTCAACATGCTTATGATGCTTCAAGTGGGGTCGTGAAAAGATCTTGATCCAGAATGAAATGTAATTGGAAGAGCGGCTGTTACTTGGACGTTGGCCCCTCCCAAGTAGGGGAAATAATTTGTCAATACTGAGCTCTTGTGACAGGCTTCAGATTTTGATTCTGTCAGGGACGGCGTGCACGGTCATGGCATCCAAGGTTCGTTCAATGGAGTTTGCATTGCCACTGGTTCCCCAAACAGTTTACTGTTGTTGTTGTTGTTCTTCGTTTTCTTCTTGGGAAAGTGCTGAAACTGATTGGGGCCATGATGACATGGTTGGTTTGTTCAACGTTGCATCCCAACGGTAACCGTCGGAAACCGTCCATTTCCATGACATGACCTCACCAGTTTGATCAGTGGTTCAAAAATATTATCCCCCCGTCAGATCCCGTCAGAGCATCCTCCAGTCGCACAATAAGTGCATTGGATGTGGGTTTGTCGACTTCAAGCTCGCCCCAGGTATTTGTATTATGTGTTTGCTCCCTTCGGTGCGGTTCAGAGCATCAAAGTGTCGAAAGACGAGTATGGCGGCTGCACTGGCTCGGCCTATGTGAAGTTCGGCGTGGCCGAGGAAGCCCTTTTGGCGATCCAGACGATTTGTGGCAATCCACTTCCGGATGGCAGTGGCTGAGAGCTGCAAAGGTGGAGAGGAGTATGGGGGAGCGGATCCCTGAAAAAGAGTTTGTTCTTTTACATTGTTGGTTTAAGGCCATATCCAGGAGTTGCCAGCATCAACATGCAATCATTTCGGTGGAAAACCTTTCTATATATGAACACTTACTTGGACTCGACCTTGGGACAGCAGCCTGCCCATAGCTGCTAGCTACATCATGTTGCACAAAGCCCAGAAGGGTCAGGTTTCACACATGCAGCATGCCTAGAATCTAGAATTGTCAATGGCTGTTTAACCAGCTTTGCTCTCGGCACCCAAGTAGACCCAACTTCCTCCAAGTCGCCGGGTATTGAAACATATTGAAACCACCAATTAGGAACTGATCAAAGACGAACGCTCCAGGCGACCTCCAGTGACACACCTGACGCCCAATTTGACGAAAAATGACCCAGGTGTGATGGGCGTCTTCGTGAAATCCAAAGGCTCCGGGACCTCCACCTGACGCGCAGCTGCGGATCGCAGACCGCGGATGGTGGATGAACGCCCCTGCCAGAGTGACGTCTCACGCGCCCAAAGATCTGTCGCACCCTCCGTCAACTAAACCGAAAAAGGCCCCCTGGAGCTGGCGTGATGAGTGTACAGTGGATGGCCATAGATGGCCTAGTGATACCCTGGCTTGAGGTCATTCAGATCATAGACGCTTGAAGTATTTGTATGTTGGCCGAAGGACTGGCTGCTCCAAGGAGACTCCAACATCATGCGAAACCAGCAAGGTTTGGGCCCTTTGCTGATAATATCGTCGCACCCATTGGACCTACAGTGCATGAGACATGATCTTTCGAGGAACTTGATTTCCCAAAGTGGGGGAAGCTGACTTGCAACGATGAGGCTGTTCACGCAGTCCTTTTTGTTTTTTTTCAGGGTCTTTCATTCTGGCCAGGGCAATCCAAAGAACTGATGGACCGGGTTTGAGCACGAACGGGCCACTCTCAAGCACCGGGGAAGGTGCATACCCTTTGTTGGCGAAAATGCCCAGACCGCATTTTTTCTTTCGGGGAGCTGAGGCTTGGCATTGCGTGAGACAGATCTTCGACTCAACCTGCTGGAGCATCTAGGCAGCCTTATGTGGAAGCCTAGACATACTATTTATCCTTTTTGGAACGTTGAAGTGGAACAGCTGCCGTTGAAAGCAGGGTTGCTTTATATACTTCCCGGATTCTTGCAGGGAGTGTGGCAGATTTCATGTTAAGACCCGGGGAATGTCGATGGAGAGAGGGTGCAGGGCTTGTGAGGCAAGATGTTTTCGACGTACGACGTCAAGTTGCCGAAAGTCAGCTTTGGGGATGATCAACACTGGATGAAATGCATCAATTTCTTAGCCTTCCAGGGTTCGATGGGTTTGCAGAGCTTTCAAAGGTGGTGTTGCTCTTGGCCGGCACAAAGCAGCCAAGGCAGTATTTTGATGGGATTCGTGTATTGCCACTTGGCCGCGGGGGATTGCTAGCCAGAGAGTCTCAGAGAGTATCAAATGTTTAAAAGGATTCATTGCTTCTCGAGGTGTCCCTCAGTCAACCCTCAAGAAATGAACTCAACATCCATTTGAGCTTGCGGAGGACCCAATTCCCAGGAACAGAACTTTGTCGCTCAAAGTGCTAGCACTTCCCCCAACTCAGTCCCACTCTGAGCCCGACGCCCTGACATCGCCATGGACTGACGCCATTCCTTTGCAGTGGAACGAACATGAACAGACGGGTCTTCCCTTGATCTCATGTCGAGCCGGTGGCAAGCTGGTGGCTCCTTAGGACAATCCCTAGACCCACCAAGCTCCAACGCTCCACAGGTCCATCGTCGAGTTACAGTCATGAGGAATCCTGACGTGCACCCACTGACTGATGCAGCCATTGTTGTTGTTGTTGTTGTTGTTGTTGTTGTTGTTGTTGATCGAGTTGCCAAGTTGGTCCTTTCCTTCAGTGAACAACTGTTTCTGTGTGAAATGAGGTCTTGAAGGGATATGGGTGTGTGTGTTTCATACCGGGGGCACCCAACCAATGTTTATTTGTATTCCTTTTTCCTGGTCTTTGGGAGGGTCTCCCTCACATACATACATACATACATACATACATACATACATTGTTCTTTCACATGTCTCATGATGTCGCATGTCTTGGAGATCGATCCCCCTATGAGACTCTCATGACGAGCTCCTGTCGACAGACATCTGGGATTCCGATGCCCGGGACACGGGGTGGGAACCTTCCCCGGCGCTCAGGAAGATGTCCGGACCTGAGAGCGAAGGGGCGGATGGGGAGACTGCTGAAGGGTCGGAAGATGTTGGTCAACAATGAGTCAACACATGTCAATCTCACTTGATATACATGAATATCAAGGAACCGGCGCAATCCGGCGCACAAGCTTCGACGTCCAGAGCCTTTTTTGAAACTGCTGGGTGAAGTTGTTTTCCCTCTCAGCATGCCCGCGATTTGTGAATGTCTGGCAGTGTTCAACGGACTCTATGGATAGCTGCAATTCGTTCAGTTGTCCAGGTGGACTTTGATACTTTGTTTCGAAGGGGGGTCAGAAGGACCTAAGTGCAGGGTTGCCATGTTGATCCCCCTATCAATCTGCTCACAAGGAGCCACGGAAAATCATGAACCTGCTGCTGACTAAGACTGCTTCGCGGAAGTTCCAACCATTGAATCATTCTGCTTTATTAGTCAGGATTCCAATGTTGGTTTTGCAATGTTTGCCCATTCAGACCCCCCCGGTACAGACATCCCCAGCAGTCACCATGCCCCCATTCTGCTAGCTGCTAGCTGATCGAATACTTCGCACTCAGGAATGGTTGGACCTCCAATGCGGAAGCTCGCCTGGCTGCGGTCAGAGCCCAGGAGCTCCGATGCAACAAGATCGTGTTGACGCTCGGATGCGGTCAGAGCACGTCTCTCGATCCAAGCCACAACATTACTGTATATAACACGGATAGGTCTGATAGGTTTGACAGGTACGGTACTTGTCAAATCTTTTTCAAGATAGACACCAGACCTGTTTTGCTACAGGTGAGCGATGGAACATGCTACCAAGCGTTTTTGGGGTCCTTGTTCATGGGCCTTGATTCGCAAAGCAGGTGGTCTTGACAAGCACTTGTCAGCCATCTCCACCTGCAAGAATCCCGTACTTAACGCTGATGATGACCATGTGCCAGGGTGCTTGTTTAAAAACAACAGAGTCTCCAACTAACCAGTGCAGATGTTTCTTGTTCATCGATGTCCTCTTGACTGTGTTGCGGACAGATTCTTTTGATGCCCTACATGGGATGACGGTGTTGGTTTTGAAAGATGCCCACGCTGAGGATGTGGAAGGGGGTTGAAGCCTCAGGGGGTCCAACGAGCCCGATCGGACGGATGTGCCAGATGGCCCGATCGTGATCGGAGGGTCAGCCAGCTAAATGGTCCTATCTCGATGTCGCCCCATTCCCTCAATCTACCGGCATGTGTCAGTCTAGATATTTACATATACGATGTTGAGTGCCGCTTGACGCGCAAGCGCGTGTCCAAAGAAAGAAGCATGGCATTGCAGTTTGACGATTTTGACCTATGTTGAATCAGCTGCAGTTTGAGCTTGTCAAAGGTCAAGATGATTCGGTAGTATGGAGACCCAACCCTCGTGATGAGTCATGAGTCTGTCACAAGCAGCCCTGGCTGTGATGCGGATCAACCTGCTGGTGGTCTCGCTGGCAAGTGCCTACAACATCCGCCTGTATGCCGTGCAGAACTATGGCCGTGTCATCCATGAGTTTGACCCATGGTTCAACTACCGCGCAGCGGAGTATTTGGCTGAGCATGGCACTGAGCGCTTCTTCAAGTGGTTCGACCATACCGTTTGGTATCCCTTGGGACGGCCGGTGGGGACGACCATTTATCCCGGAATGCAATTTGCGGCCGTGTGGATTTGGCGGATCCTCGAGTTTCTGCAGCAGGAGATGTCTTTGCACGACGTTTGCGTGTTCATCCCTGCCTGGTTTGGTGTCGCCTCGACCGTCTTCGTGGGGCTCCTCGACCGCGGCACATCGTCGGTCATGTGAGCAACGCCAAAACCAGTGGCCGCCAATTTAGGAGAGAGTGGTCGTGAAATAACCTGGAAAGAACTCCACTACCCAGCAGTTTTGGCAGACACTCATGTAGGAGATTGCAGGAGTCAGCAACAAAAAGATAGACCTTGAAGGAAAGTTGACATTTTTTGTTTTTGACCTCAACATCCATAAACCAGCTGTCGCCGAAGACGGACCCAACCGGACCCAACAGCCGAGCAAAGTGCTAAAGGCCGGCACTAACGTTTCTTCAAAAAGGAAAAAGATAATGTTCTTTTAAAAAGACGATGCCTAGCTGTGACGGTACACATCGTGGAATCTATCTTTGCCTATTGACACTGTTGACACTCGACACGGCGTATGTCCAAGTTGTTTTTCCATATGGTTTGAATGTTTGCCATGCTAGTTGGACGTCCCATTTTGTTTTTGCATATTTTCCTTGCTCTTACTTCGATGGGAAACAATTATGGGTTTTGACCGAGACCCAAAACGATACCAAACGATACCCACTTCATAGGTTTGCATGCCCTCGGAAACCACCTATCCGCTTACATGCCACTACTACTGCCACTACTTCTACTAATCTACTTCTACTACTACTACTACTTCTACTACTACTACTACTACTACTACTACTACTTATTACTAACAACAACAACAACAACAACTACTACTACTACTTATTACTAACAACAACAACTACTACTACTACTACTACTACTACTTATTACTAACAACAACAACTACTACTACTACTGCTACTACTACTACTACTACTTCTTACTAACAACAACAACAACTACTACTACTACTACTTCTGCCACTCATCATTTGCAGAGTCACCTTCCACAGCAATTTACATGTAGACGATACCTCCCCAAAAAAATAATGCAAACATAATTGATGAACATAACAGAAACGATAACAATCCAAAAAACAATACCTGCCTTAAAACTACCCACCAAATGACCCATTATTTTGCCGGTCGCTCAGCTGAGTTGGTGCCCCTCCGGTGGTGCTCCGGTCCAGGCTTTGGACCTTCGAATGTACCCGCTGTGTGGATTCAGCGGTGTGCGCCATGCTGGTGGTGTCCATTCTACCGGCACACTTGATGCGCTCGGTGGCAGGCTTGGCCGGGTCAGCTCGGCCGCGAGCCGATTTTGTGAGCCGGATGGCTGGCTCTTTTTGGAGTATGGCCAGTATGGCCGCCATGTTTGGGGAGGGTGGCTCCTGGGGACATAGGAGGTTTTGACCCGACTCCATTGTCAACAGCATGTGTGTGGACGTTTGTGGACCTGTTGGTGAGGCCATGTGAGGCCCAAACTGATGCATAGGACGAGTTGCAAGGACTGATTAGGGACGCAGGAGGTGTTGTTTCGCAAAATCTTTGGACAGGTGGCTTTGACAACGAATGCATGGCCATCACCTTCATGAATGCGACCTTCTACTTCTGGTGCCGTTCTTTGCGGAACGATAACTCCTGGCCCTGGGCATTGCTGGCAGGTTTCTCCTATTTCTGTATGGTGGCCACTTGGGGAGGCTATGTCTATGTTGTGAACATCATCGCCTGTCATGCAGCTTGCTTGATGCTGCTTGACGCCGTTAGGTTACTCCCGGGGTCTATAAGATCTATAGTATAAACAAGGTATATTACTTGGGGGTGTCATATACTACCTGCACAGTGGATCAAACAAAACTTTCACTTCTCACTATGATGGAGAAAGGCATGGAGAAAGGCCTTAGCTAACCATCATCATCCATTGTTACAGGGAAGTTCAGGGAGAGGATATAGACCCAATATTATTACTTCAAACCAACCCCCCCCCAATAAAAACGTTTGCCTTGTTCCACCCAACTGTTCTAACTGCCCCTGTGTTGCATTGATCGGCCAATGGTCCTTTTCTTCCCCGACGGTACGCCACATCGAGTCGAAGACCCAGGTTGCGGCGACACTCTAGTGTCCTTGGCACCGTTTTGTTTTGCGCGGGCTGAGGCCAATCCCGGATCCCTAAAAGGATCTTGTGTGTTTTGGGGTCAGTATTCAACCCCTCTTCTCATTCATGGGGCCATCTTGGCCCGTAATTCAGAGTTTTTCCGGCAGCGAAACTGCACTATTCACTTGGCTTTTGTTGGACCTGGAGCTGGGATATAGAATGGTGTTAATCAACTTAGTGACGGTTTGGCACGTTGACTTTATCTCATCAGTCTGACTTTCGAAAAGCATCCCATTGGCGAAACGTCAACCTTCATGTGCCTTCTCGGTTCCCTGATGAGGGATAAAACATGTACATAATGACCCTTCAACGATCACTATACTTTGACCTGGTTGGATTAGAGAGAGGTGAGGCGAACTCACGACAACATCAGACAACCACAGAGGGAGAAGAAACTGGGGCATATAAAAATAGTATATATATATACACTATATGCTTGAGTTTGACAAAGTCTTTCAGATTTCTGACTGTAGCCGAGCTTGCCATGTTACAAACACCCTTAGTGATGGTTTCCATGATGATTCCATGCTAAGGGGTGATGCAATGCCCACAGAACACTAAAGGTTCAAATGCACTCATTGGGCCGGTCCTCAGCTCCGTTTAGTTTAGAACATTTAGATTTGATCAAGGGAATGACATGAAGATAGAACGACTCAGTGACTTACACAATTCATCTTAAAATTCTGTTGTGTACTAGGTGTTGAGCCAGAACCACCCGTGAGGTCGGCCTGAAGCAGCTTAGGCCGGATCCATCGTTCCTACAGCCTTTTCTTCCTGCTGGGCACGCTCCTAGCTGTCCAAGTGCCCGTCGTGGGATGGACACCTTTGAGGCCCCTCGGCTCAGACGAGAGGAGTGGACACGGGGCACGTGTGGGGCACATAAGGGGCACATGGTTTCTTTCCCAAGAGGGACATTGTGTGTGTGCATTGACATATATTGACATCATGCGAGTTTACAGTGATGCACTGTACATCCGGCTGTAGTATGAGTGTGTGTCGTCATGCGTTTTCTTTGCCGGATATGGATTGGCATGGGCAAGCGCCCTAGAGATGGTATCGATGGGGTTGTTGCAAGAAGCACTTTTGTATGTGCACGAGCGTCAACTTGGTCACGCGCATTTTCTAGATGCTGCGAAAGACATATCAAAGGCACTGAGACATTCACAGGTGTTGCGCAGAGGCCTCATTCAGACATTTGAATGGTTTTCCTTTTTGCGTTCCATGGTTTTGTGAACAATTTCCTGTTGCTCCTCCCGGTGACAGATTCCACCTGTATTCAAGGGGCAAAGACTCAGTGAGGCGAATAACATCGAATAACCACACGCAGTGCAGGTAAGCACACACACGTGTCACAAGGAGAAACACAGGTGAACATACACAAACAGCAATCAAACAGCCAACAACCTGAAATTGTCTTAGGTGTCTCACGGCGGGTGTCACACGCTTGGAAAACCGAGAGACCGTCGCATTCTCGCTCCGCATACGCGGCCTTTTGTCGTTCTATCGAGCGCAAATACGTGGTGCACCTTTGACGTCAGGAGCCTGGAGCAAGTGGCACCGTTGCTGCAGTTCGTGGCCGTGCAGATCTTTGAGGTCCTGTCCACTTGGCAACAGCGTCTACCCGCGAAGGACACACGCGCACCCGCTCGTGGTAGCCACGGTGCACGCGGCGAAGAAAATGACCTGAGCGGCCAAAAAAGGAGACTAACCGACTAACCATAGAAACTGGATGAATCATGATAAGGGAACATGCTAAGGGACATAATTTAATACAAAACAAACCCTCCCAACAAAGCTTGACTCGTCATGCTTAAATCGCTTAGCTCGAGGAGTTCCAATTGTTGCGCTTCAGAGTTTTCGCCGTTTGCGGGGCTGTGGCAGCATTGCTGGGAGCTATGCTGTTCCAACTGGGTTACTTTGCACCCCTCTCCAGTCGAGTGCGAGGTCTCTTTGTGAAACACCGCACCTTGGTGTCGAGATCGCGGACAAAAAACACCATCTCTCTATATATAAGGGGGTCATCATTCCGTCGAGAGGGGTCGTGTAGGGATCGTGGGTCGAGGGGCCGTGCAGCGGGTTTCACGGTTTCACTGCCAAGATGCTAAGTGTTCTTAGTGGTTTTTAGATGTCCAGTCCAGAGTTGAGAAGATGCAAACAACAAACTATCGAAATGCTGGATTTTGAATCAGATTACCTATTGAACTTTTTGGCAAGCTCTTGGGGCTGGATGGCTTGTCTATTGCAGCAGGTACTGGCAATCCATTAGTGGACTCTGTGGCTGAACACCAAGCAACTAGTCCACGAGCATACTGGCAGTTCTTTCATCACATGTGCACCATGGCGCCGCTGGGTTTTCTGATTTCACTCTTCGAGATGAGCGAAGCCAGGAACTTCTTGTGGCTTGAGCCGCAATGCCCACTTGTTATCAGGCCCCAGCAGCATCTATATCACATATATATATATATATATAGCTGTGGAGATGTGCCTGTGGGGAGGTTTGCACATGGTTTGTCTTCCTGCAAGGAGTTCAGGGTTCTCTTAAGTTCCCTTCTATTCTATTTGCATTGGGTGTTGTTGACCCTGGCTGAGTGGAAGGTCCACCCCGAATGCATGAGAACATGTGAAGCACTCAAACTGAAACCAACCCAGCTAAAGCTACTAGACTCAGGTTCAAAAGCGTGAGAGCTTGATTACTCCTTGAGGCTGTAGTCCTTGTTCATGGACCGTGGGGTTGGTACCTAATTGAGATGATTCCCTGGACGACTGGAAAATGCTAGACAACTACCCATAGAGCAACACACGGACGCATGGCGGCCTTGAGTAGCCTAGTGCATTGACTAGCGGTGAGTCAATATATATAGTTTTGAGAGGCTTTGAGTCGCCCAGACCCTGCCACAGCAATCCACTTCAAGTTTCGCCAGAACAGCATGGAGTGCAGAGCACAGCTCAGAGTGCAGCCCAAGTTAGCTCCTCGAACACGTTGATAACCAAAGAGTGGAACCCAACTTGTTTAATTACTGGGGTTCAAGCATATTTTGTGGGATGTTCACCTCAATCAGGCTCCCTAGTTCTGAGGTTGCTCTATGCTGGCATCACCTACTATTTTTCCTCCAAGATGAACCGTCTTTTGCTCCTCTTGGGCCCCACCGCCGCAGCTCTTGGCGGCATTGCCTTGGCCAAGACGCTGCGCTGGGCGCTCCATCAACTCACACAGCCAGAGGAGGCACCGGTGCCGGCCACGCAGAACGAGGACGCGCGGCGCGGCGCCAGTGGTGGTGAAGACAAGTGAAGACATGTGATCCGGGGTCAGAGGATGGACACTCACATGCACCCAGACAGGGACCTTGTGTGTGTATTGGTGCGTGTTTGTTTCTGTCAATGTGTTTGTTGCGAGTCCAGCCCGAATGCCAAGAAGAGCTATATAGCCGTTTGCCACAGTGCCAATTGAGACAGAAGGGATGGCCTTTGAGACGCAAGGCGATCAAGATTCTGGCACTCGTAGGATCATGAAGCACAGCGGCATCATCCCTATGCATCTGCAGAGGTTGGTTGTTCCCTCCAAGGGGCTGCAATTGAAAGTCCAGTTTAATTCAAAATGCATCAGACCAGCTACACAATGAGACACTTGGGCCTGCTCGAAGGCAGTTATATAGTTCATTGAATCTTCGCAGCTTAAAAAACATAACAAACCTCTTGAATGGAAAGGCGAGAATGATTGCCTAGATGGAAAGATAGAGCGTTCACCAATGTGCACTCTACCAAGCTTGGGGAATGGCTATTCCGGGGGGGGGTGGCCAGTAGTTGGCCAGCCGTCAGGAAAAGCCGAAGCACAAAGGACACAAGGAACTGCAAAAGGCCAAAGCCGAGGGTTTGACAGTCGTTCTGAAGGAGATCTACGACGAGCTTCTTGAAACCGTTTCATCCCGGAGGGTTGACCCACCATCTCATTGGTGGCACAAGAAGTCTACCAGGGTAATTACCAGGGTTGATCCACAGGTGCATGGTGTTGGTTCCATGAATTTCCATGATGACCCATTTCAAACCATCAAGTTTTACAATACACGCTTGGCGAAAACGGGGGCAGGAAGGTGTACTCTGGAGGGGGGCCACATGCGTCCCATCAGTCGGACTATGGTCTATTGTTTTTTTGCTAACTGGGTGACTGAATCTCCACAAGGAGATCTCATCTCCTGACCTTCAATTCATTCCAGAAATCTGTTCAATTTTTCCGACGGCAAGTCCAACAAGATGTTCATTTGACAAGTTGAGGATCTTGGTGCTCTTTTCAGCTGCCCTTTCTTTGACACTCATTTCCAGCGGTGTGGTTTCCTTGTGGCCCTCGGGCAGCTCCGCCCACCTCCTTTGCGAACACCGTCAGAGGTTCAAAGGCCCCTTGTGGGAGGCATACCACGAAGCCAGGTGGCAGAGGAAGGCTTCAGCAGTTTCGTGGCATGGGTCAGAGGGGCCATGAAAGGCTTTATATCACAATTTCATTGTACGTAGAACAAAGGGAGGTAGAAATCGGCAGTAATTCCCAACAAGTGGTTGGGTGTTGAGGTTTGTGTTTGAAGATTTTGAGGTGCTGTACTATATGTATGAAGTCGTGATTATCATTGATCTTGTACTGCTGAGGGGCGCATTTCAAGTGACAACTGCGGGTGGTAGTGGAGCGACTGGTGCCACAGGGAAACTGCTGAGACACTGCGGCTGTAGATGACAAATCCCTTTAAGCATCTTTAAGCCAATCAGCCGAAAGGAAGCCGTTTCCTGTTGCTCGGTAATGTTGGATCTTAAATAGTAAACGGGTCCAGGGAGTATGAATAGTATCCCCGCCACAAACACAAATAGTACCATTGGTGGTGGTGGTAGTAGTAGTAGTAGTTGTTGTTGTTGTAACAGTAGTAGTAGTAGTCCAAAAAAACACCCTGGGTGATTTTTGTTGTTTATTCTTTAACTCTTGCCTCCCACTAAATTATGAAGGGTGTTGGAATATTTTAGCAAATTATGTGTTAGTATTCCCTCCCACTTGACTAATTAGGATCCGACAATAGTTGCTTTGAGCGACCTGACGTTCAATTGGAGCTCCCGAACAAAGAGGGCACTTGTCACAGACGTATGATCCAAGTAGTCGGTCTCCCCTTTGGAAGCGTTCCTGGCCCCTTGCGAGAGGGGGATGATGCCCCTTGGCCGGCCAGTTTGAAAGACTCTCGTTTGAACGTCGCTGACACATGCCACTGGCAACTCAGGTTCTGATGCTTTTGACCTTCATGATTTGCGGCATGGAGTTCATGAACTACTGCTGGGCCGTGGCCGAGCGCCTATCTCAGGCCTCAATCATCGTCAAGCGCCGCAACAAAGAGGGACAGGAGATCCTCATGGACGACTACCGGGAGTCCCCAAACAAAACTGCAGTTCAAAGTTAATATGTAATTAGCGTGTTTAAATGTTTCTCGTATCGGTGGTTGTTCCACAAATGACTGGAACGATATCAAATACAACTCTGGATATTTGTAAGGCCACTGCAAAATCACATATTGGTGCTTTGACGTTCGCTTAGTGGTTCCGAACCGACACCAGAACAAAGGTCATATTGGTGGCTCCGGGATCACACGCCTGAAGACACCCGCATCATGGCCTGGTGGGACTATGGCTATCAGATCAATGGCCTCACCAATCGGACCACGCTGGCCGATGGCAATACCTGGAACCACGAGCATATTGCCCTGATCGGTCGATGCTTGACGGGCCCCGAACGGCAAGCACACGAGGCCCCGAACAGCATGACCGGTGGAGAGGGTGACCACAGGGCTACCGGCCACTGGTCCTTTTTCGGGGAGGTTCCCTTTTTGAAGGGCAGGGGGTCTGTCCAGATGTGTTCACGGCAGTGGAATGATATATGGCCCGAGCTGTCGCTTGCACCACCGGAAACTCGTTACCACGACATATGGAACCAGGGTCTAGGGTGGCTTTTTGGTCTACAGTTTGAATCAGACAACCGCATCCCCGTCAACTTGAACCAAGTGTTTACAAGTGTTTACAGTTTATGTGTTTGAATATCGTTTGAATATGTTTGAATTATATAATTTAGTGTTAAACAACCGATTGGTTACGGTTACAGCTTCTCAGTGATCTTGGTTTGTTCGGTCGCCCGTTTTGTTCTCGGGTGCCGAATCTCTCACCGATCTCTTCGGGCCAGACATGGCCGCGCTACCTGGGTTGATGTCGCTTGGGTTATAGTTCTCCCAGATGCGAACCATACCAGAAGTTTCCAACAAAAACAACCTTTTTTGATGGATACCGCGACTTTTACTTCGAGCCTTGGAAGGTCCAACACGCTTGAATACTGTGACAGGTGATCCGACACCTGGCAGACTACGTGCTCATTTGGGCGGGTGACTATGGGGATGACATTGCCAAGAGTTCCCACATGGCTCGCATCGCGGCCTCCGTGTACGAGGACGTTTGTCCAGGTGACCCTCTGTGCTGCCTGGCCTGAGAGGTTTTTTTGAGGTTTGGGAGTCTGGGGCGAACATCCCTTTTGCAAGCTGCTTCGGTTGTGAATGAGGTGTGCGCAGGCTTTGGCCACTGATCATTGCCCCTAATGTGATAGCAAAAGGGATGATCATGGGAGGCGCCTCCATGGATTCTCTTGATATTTGTTGTTGGCGCAATCGCCTTTCTTAGTACTGTATTATATGTTTAGCTGCCGGAGCATCATGAAGCTTTGTGACCATCCACCTGTTGTACTGAGACACCTTGCACGCGCGGGGGTAGTTTGACTGTAAGTCCCAGTTGTTGAGCACGTCCATGAATGACAAATCAATTTTTGTGGTGGGCCCGTGGTACAGTCCTGGCCTGACAGTCCTGCCGTTCAGGCAGCAAGTTCCACCGGAACCGCCAGACGGGGGAGCCCTCGGAGATGATGAGCCGGTCTTTGTTGTGGAAGCTCTATGCACATGACCCGATGGGCGAGGTTCAAACGGACGGCGCCCTTTTCGAAGAGGCCTATACCTCGCAATATGGGCTGGTCCGGATCTTTAAGGCCTGGGCGATCGATGTTTTTCGTTGGATTCTGGAGCTGACAGGGAGGGAAAGTGGGAGGAACAAGCGAAACAACTGAAGAAACGGGAGGTCAACATGTGTGCAGGATCTTTCAGGTTGACCGATGAAGTGCACGTGGGAGTAATGAGTCGGAAGCTTTTGCTTTCGCACCTTTCAGTCAGGGTCTGGGAGGAACACCCTGGCCCTACACTTCTTATGGATATCCATTCAGCATGTCAACAGGAAGGTCCTAGCCAAATCAAAACCTACTCAACGGTCAGCCTCCATTCAAGTGGCACAAGGCCATCCAAGGCCGCCATCACTGGCTCCCCTTCCACCCAACCAAGCCGGACCAGACATCCCTTTTGGAAACTGAGCAGCCGGATCAGGTGCTGAATATTTCGGACGAGTCCAAGGCATGGGCTGCCGATCCCAACAACTGGAAGTGCGATGCTCCTGGGAGTTGGCACTGTCAGGGCCAATACCCGCCAGCTTTGAGCCTTTTGGCAGCATGCGGCACCCTTCGGAATTCACGAATGGCTGATTCCACTTGAATGCTACGTGTAGCTGCTTGTGCAGACCACCTACACTAAAGAAAGGAACTGACTCCCACGGGGCTCGTCGGACTAACAGGTTTTCATGGAAGAATCTGAAGGGGTGGTTCTTTGAGGCAAAGTCTTGGAGAAGCAGAAAGCATTCCAACAACTTGAAGACTTCAACCAGCAGAAAGATGAGAAGGCAGAGGAGTACCACAAGGCCACCGGCCTTCAGCCTGGTCAGTTCTGGCACCGGTGAGGTGGGTGTGCGCATGGTGCACATAGGAGTGCGTGGAAAGGATATGTTTATTTTCAACTCTTACTTGGGGTTGATTGGACCCTCTGACTAATATTTTTCAAGTGCAGGTTGAAAACACCAACCAGGAAGTTATATATATGGGACATTTTTTATTTTGGCCTCAACTCCTGCTGATCTCGTGGATGTTAACCTTCTTCCTCCGACCGGGTCGTGATACGACCGCGACCACTGTTGCCTCCTGCTGACGGCTTACCACTTCTTACCCTCATGCTCTTGCACAGTTCCGTTTGACTGGTTAAGTGCCGAATTCAAAGGTGCTACCAATATCTACCAACAATATCTACCAATGTTTTGCATCAAAGGACCATAAGCATTTATTTTGCCGGATGGGAGTTCAGTGGCGTTCCTCCCCAAGCATGTGCATGCAACGGGCACCCCATTGATTTGGGGGGTCTAGAACTAGGATTTCCACCGGACCCTGCATGCCGCAAGGCTTACATGCAGAAGGTCAAGGAGCGCTCTCTGTGAAGACAAAAATGCGGCCGAGAGGGGCTCAAGGTGACAGGACATTTCGCGGGAACATGGGCGAGTAAGTTCTTATTCTTATATATTTATGACATAATGTGGCCCAGCATTCATGGTGACATGGAGGGGCTGCTGTGGGTTGGGCTTCGGGTGTATGGTCGCAGGAGATCTCATTGCAGACATGACCAAAGAACAAGAGCAGGCTTTCCAAGTCCTAAGGTGGTGGAGCCTCTTTGGTTCCAAGCGTTTCTGTAATTGCTGTAGGTACCAAATTTTGTTGTTTGTGTGGCAGGAGTTAGGATCAACCATACTATGAAATGCCAACAATTTTGCATTGCCAAGCAAGCTGATTAGTGTTCCCTCACTGCAGTTCCATGACCGTTCTTTGTTTGCTTCTCCAAGGGGATCGATGAAAAGACGATACCCCAGTTGGCTGCCCGAAACGTGAGTTAGATCTGTGATTCTACCGACGAGTGCTGCGAAACGCTAGTCCACCGAGGTCAACGCTATGATGGGCATTATGTCCCCCTCGATCGTGGGATTTGTCATGCCAGCGGCTGAGTCAACGGAGCGATGAGAGCGACGAGACCGATGAGACTGCAACGGTCGCAGGTTTTCCACCTACGCCTTGCTGGGTGGCGAGATGACGGTGGAGGTGGTCTTCCCCTCCTTGAGCCGTGGCCAAAGGGACATCTCCGGTGCCTGGGAGGGCAGAAAAACCTGTCAAACCTGTCGGACCGTGTGGACAGCTTGTGCCATGCGACCGGGCACTGGTCGGCTGCATCATGCTGATGTTTGGGTCTATGCGGTGGGGAGTCCAAGTCCATCAAAACCATTATTACGAAGAGATTCTGTAAGAACCGAGTCAGCTACACCAACCCTTCAACCCGATCTGCCTAGTTTGCCTTGTATTCTCACATGTGTAGCAATTCTTCGCTGCACCTGTTTTCCTTGCAATGCTGCAAGAGTTATAAGTTATAAGATGCATTTTTGCATGTGCTGTGTGTAGAATATTATACATAAATATGTCAATGTTATATTGTCATTGTTCTTGAGCCACGAGTCATTTTAAACAAGTCCAATTCGCTTGGCAGGTGTGGGACGCTCAATAATCACACCTTTCAAGAAGTAAGTCGTATCAGTTAGCATTATATAGTCTACAAGGCTCTACGTGAAAACTGACAGTGCACACCTTTCCAGGACACCGTGCAGGCTTCCATTCGCGATTGCAGCCGGGTTTGAGGGTTGCAACCAGAACCTCACGAAGCCCAACCTTTGCTTGGCCAGGGTATCCCTGTGCCCCAAGGGGTGTCCTTAACCTCTGAGGGGCCATTATTAGCCACTTCTTCAAAGCTCCGCCCGGCTCCGCCAGCTTTGCCCAGGATCGTTTTGCGTGTGTTGCAGATCATGATGAGCAGCTTGTAATGACATGGATGTTGGAACACGACATGGATCATGAGGCTTTCTGTCGATAGACACCTGCATTGTGTTTTCTCACGGGCAACATGTGAACATCCTCCTGTCACAGCTGGTCGCATGAGAAATGAGGTTTGCTCCCCGGCTCCTTCTCGTGCATGGCGGAGCTCACTACTGCGTGCCTTTGTCGTTTCGGGACGTCGGACGGCGCTGCAGGGCGGACCTGTTGCCTGAAGGGAGCCAGGCAACAGCCAGGCCAGCCAGGCCCTGGTGTAGCTTTCGGGGCCCAAAGTCGAAAACCCTGGAGCAGCATATCAAATGACTCTTCATGCCCCTTCAATTTGAAAGCTGGCTTCAGGATGTGTGCGGCAAGTGTTTTACTTCGTCACTTCATTATTTTATGATCTTATAATTATAAGTATATATTAATAGTCTCAAATATGTCTCTTATGAAAAGACAAGCATATTTTACATCAACTTAGTCGGTAAGATCAAGATCCAGTAAGAAAGGGTGCTAAACCTCTTGGCACAACAACGTGGTGACGCCGAGGTGCTTGCGGCTGCAGCAATTCCTGCAGAAGCGGGAGCATTTGATCGACACTTGGCGCGGCTTTTCCGTCGGCGGCGGATTCCACGATGCATTCCTCGCTTAGACTTTGTTTGACTCGACTGGACCGCTCATAACTTTCCAGCTGTTGAGCTACCCATTTTTCATCAAGCCGGCAGTTTGCTGAGGATGAAACTCGACAGCCCATCGATGGAATGGCTTCCACGCCGGGCGAGGTGATCCTGAAGGAGGCATGGTGGCCAGTGCGAAGAACGGAACCAACACCTCAAGATGACTCAAGATGGGTTTGGCATGCCACATGAACAAGCAGTTGTGCCGTTTTTGGCATGCATGACGAAAGGAAGCTTTGGCTCAAGAATATTTATTTAACAATATTATATTTTATATATATATATAAGCGACTTCCCTCGGCCATCTCCAGGTCACCTTTCGTCGAGGTGGTGGCAACGAGGTGCAGCTCCGAGCAGCTCCCAGCTCGTCGGGGGACAGAGCCGGGCCATCCCTGCCTTTCGAACCCTCATGCACCCGCCCTGCACAAGTGTTGTATGGATTTGTAGATGTTCAACTTTATTGAGGATGCCTTTGGGCGGAGAGGGGTATGCCGCTGGAGCCAACATCTGTCACTTACAGAGTGCATCACGCGAGGAGGGCCGCGCCTTTCAGCTGGGGCCTTTGAACCTGACCTTGCATCCTGGAGATCTTTGTGTTGTGTGTGGCTCTTGCCTCAGATCTTGCATTTCTCAGTGTTGTGCCGGGCAGGGGTAGGAGTAGATTAGGAGTATGCAAAGGAGACATGTTGAAGGATTCAAGGAGTGCTTCTAGGAAGTACGCCCAATCTTCGTTCCAAATCCTCACCAGTCTTTTCCCAGCTTTTGGAAGAACAATGAACTGGCTGCCTTAGCGCCTGAAGGCCTGAAGTTTTCAGCGCATGTCACACACATGCGAAACGCACGCGGATGATAGGCGCACGCTGCCCTGAATCCAATGTCGATGTCGGATTGTCGAAGGTACTTAAGTTGGAAGTTGACTCATGATCACTTAACAATACTTGACATAGATAATCCATGATTATCCTTTTTTGTCAAGATGGAGAATCACATCTAGGAGGTTGGTCAAATTGGCTGTTCTTCTCACATCCCGTTATGAGCACTTTGTCCGCGCCATGGTACTCGCTCCGCTTGTGGGGGATCCTTTTGTTATTTTAAGAAGCAGGCTGCGTAGTTGTTCATGTTCCCCTATGGTATTTTCGCATGTGTAGGAATGCCCCAGTTCGTCATATACCGCATAGGAAGACCATGTAATTCACATGTTGTCCGGACTGATGCATTTTGTGATATTTTGTGCCACAATGTAGACTGTCCATTTACGTGGATGCTTCTTCTTGCGGGGCGGGGTGTGTTAGGTGCACGACCCCGTGACCCGGAACGACGTGTTCGCTCAGGTCCTGTGGGCTCCGGGAAATCCACCTTGGTCCTGGGCCTTTTGAGGGAACTGACCACCTCGGGGTTGGTTCAGTGCGGAGGGCGCAAGGCCCTGTGTGGCCAGGAGAGTCTTGGACAAAAGAAACCTGCGGGCTGCGGGCTGAGGTGAGATGAAAGATGATGAGAGTCTGTAAACGTATATATAGGGTCACAAGAGCATCACGTACAAGTCACAAGCTTCCTCAAAAAGGCATTGTTTTTTTAACTGTTGTTTATCACGAAAGGTAGCTTCAATTTTAGCAAAAATGTATTACAATCCGGAGTTGGGATTATGCATTGGGTTTGGTCCTGTAAGAAGGGATTCTGTTTGACAGGGGGGCCCCTGGATCAATTTTTTGCCGAGCGGTCGCTGTTTGGGTCACAGTCAAGGAGTGAACAGGAGTTCAAACAGAGCTTTGACTCGTGTACTGCAAGACCAGCGATGATGCGGATGTGAAAGATTTGCTACCTTTGGTTCACCCTCTCCCATCTCAAGCTGCCTCCTCAACTTACTCTAGCCCTCTGACCCCTGACGCACAAACTGCCACTTCTTGGCCCATTTGACATCCTCACGGTGAGGCCCTGGATTATGTCAGCCTCCGTCTATGAGAATATTTGCTGCTTCCGACAGGCAGACACGGAGCTCCTCCGGGGGCGAAAAAAAGATGTGGTCCCCAAGTAGATACATGTACATGGTTTCCAAAGGAATTCATACTTAATAAGACACGTGCAAAGGGATTACATACATTTGCCTATCACTGTTTCAACATCTCATGTTTGCGTTTTGAGATGTCTAGAGGACCATGCGGGAAGGATGTAGTAGGGGCGTGTGATTTTGGTGGCACGTCATATGGTTCTGAATCTATATTGCAATGATGCCGCCGGAAACGACTACGGTAGTTGAGCGGCACATTTGGAGTAACATGTTCGATTTATTACCTTGACATACCTTGACATTTTGTTCGGCACATGTTGGTCTCCAGACAAGCATTTGCGTTTCACACAAGAAGAGGTTTGCTGAAACACCAGGATCATCAGTACGACCAGTCCGTGCAATCAGCACAACTGCAAGTGGATCTCGGAAATTTGCCTGCTGGTGACCAGACAGAGATCGGGGCGAAACTGGTCTTGCAAGACTTGGTCGTTGGGGTGGTGGGGCCGTTGAGGTGGCTTGGAACCTATTTATATAGGCTGTTTTTTTGCATTCTGAGTAGTAGTCGCCACCGGTGGCTGAGGGTGCTTGATGCCGGTACTGTGTCATTGAGTGTTTCAGCACAAAACTCTTTCTGGGATGCTGGACAACATTGTCCCAATCTCAGTTTAGCACAATTGAATTACGGTTCGATTTGGGCAAGATCGGTACCAGCCGTTTGTGGAACTGACCAGCTTTCCTTGTCACCTGCGAGGAAGGGAATCAACATCTCAGGAGGACAGAAAGCAGCTCGTGCGCAGAGGCTTTGGACCGACACCAAGAGCATAAATTGCAATAATACAGGGCCCCTCCTAGCAAAGAACTGAGGGAGAGTGAATAGAGTCAACCCCACAACAAGCATGTATTCATGTGGTGGTAGTTGTCGTTGTCGTTGTGGTGTTTGTTGCAGCCGTCAGTAATGCTGCTAGCGGTAAGAGTAGGAGTCGGAGGAGTAGTTGTAAAAGTGGATATGATGTTCTATTCCCACCCACTTGACTATTTGGGGTTGAGGATTACGGCTGATGGAGAAGCACTCAACAACGTACACGCCCTTGCTACCAACGGGAGCATGTGCTATCACACTTGCAGCGAACCTATTAATTTTGATTAATTTTGAAAGTTTCTTGTTGAACCGTTCATACTTTGGCCTTCTACTGGGCGAAGTTGCTCGTGCTGATTGAACATAATAGTGTTTCCGGAGGTTCTCACTTGCGTGAGGGTTGCCAGAACTCCGCCGCGCAACTGCTGAGGCACGTGTGGCCTTGGCCCGAAGTTTGATGGATTCTTCTGACGTGGTCTTGTTGGACGATGTTTTTTAGCGCCCCGGTGGTTTGGGATTGTCAAGACTGGATTTGTTTGATCTCCATAGTTTGCGGAAATTCATGATAGCCATCATACACCCATCACATTTTGTGTGCAGCGCTTGAGATCAACGTCCACACTGTCCACACATGTCCACAGATTGTCGTGATGCTGCTTGGGGGGGTCGGAGGACTGTTCCCTGAAACCATGAACCTACCGTATACAGAAAACAAGAATGCAAAAACAACAATAAACAGAACATGCCAATGGCCTGGTATGTCAAACATCCTTGTTGTCCCTGTTATTCGAAAACAATTACGACTGCTATTGGTTGTTGCTAATTAGTTGCTTCATGATCTTCATGGGTGTGGTGCCAGTGTTTGCAGAGTGCATCCGTAGTCCAGTGTTCGCTCGTGGCCACCGGAACCGGTCATACTAAGCGGCCGGAGAGCTCCGCAGCGGCCGGAGAGGTGCGGTGGATGTGCATGTGGCAACCGCCCTGATCCAAGAGGCCTTGCTGGGAGCCTTGAAGAGCAGCACCCGAGCACCTTAGAAGCAGGGCAAGAAAGGGGGCAGAAGAGATCTTTGGGAGAGCTTTGGCATAGAAGATGTACATGTCCTTTGTATGGTAAGATGTGTGAGTTGTGGATGCAAGATTGAGAGAAGCCTACGTTATTTATGGGTGCCCGAACTCTCCAACAAACGTCACATGGAAGCTGGCAGATGTGTGATGTAGCTTTTCTTTCAATGGTGTGTGGTGCATGTGGCAAGCTAGGTCGTGGTGGCCAATACCTTCCTCCCACTGCTGCTGCCGCATGCTCAGCAGGCGACATGTACTCGTCCTGGGAGGTGATTCCGATGCAAACCCGTGGGATGTGCCCAGGTGAAAGCTCGACACATACCAGCGGCTTAAGGGGCGAGAAAAGGGGGGCTGAAGCGCTTGGATGCTTCGAAGATGTTGAAATGCCTCTCGCACCCTCTCTCCCACAGTTGGTCAAGGACGGACTTGGATACTTCTCCCTAGGCAGCAAGTGGTGTGGTGAGACAGGGAGAGACGGGCGTCTTCCACCCATCCTCGACAAAAATACCGACCAGTGGCTCCGACATGCTTGGGTGACTCCCCAGTGTATGTGATTGATGCCAACAGAGGGGTTACCGGCCACCTGCAAGGGGCGCAAGATGAAACGAAATGCCAGGTCTTGTTGGTTCCTGAGAGTCGTTTTTGTGGGGGTAAGTAAAGTTGTATAATGTTATATAAGAATCAACATTTACATTTCTGTATACTAAAGAAAGTTATATTAGACTTGGTGGAAAAGCAATCCTGTACTACCCTGCAAAAAGATCTGATCCTGCCACACGCTGCTTGGGCACTTCCTCGCCACGCCGGGCATTCCCTTTGGCATGTCGAAAAGCCGGACCCTCAATGAGCCGACTCGGACCGGCTTTCTGAAAGGGAATGAGCCATGGTAAGCTGCACGACCCTTTTGGGGCATTGGGGGGCACCATATTCTGAACAGTTGGGAAAGCGTATGGCAAAGTGGATCTGGAAGATGTCTGCTCGAAGCTGAGGGGTTCAGTGAAGCTTCACTTGGGAATGCCCCCTCATCGTTTTCCATGGTGGTCATCGGCTTTGCCTGACAATGTTTTTGTGTCGATGCGGCCCATGGCGTAGGTGGTGATCCTGGATAGCCAGGGTGGCATTGAAGCACAAGGGCCTTTAGAAGTGGTTCACAGGGAATCCCCTTGGCTTCAAGAGGCCAGGCATGAATGTCGAAGCAAAGCGTCGATGTCGCTCGACTTGGATGTCGAGCTGTGATGAGCTGTGGTTCTTTGGAGTCAGCAGTGAGAAAGTACGATTTCTTGTTTTTTACTGTAATGTGTGTGTGTGTTTTTTTGTTTTTGTGGCTGGCCTCTGATGAAGATGTTTTTGTGGTCTGTCAGATTACCATGCAGTGCCATGCAGGGATTTCTGGACTTGGCACGACCCCCCAATCAGTGTTGGAGGCGTCGGGGCAAAAACATGCATACTGTTCTGTTCTGGCGAATTCCGGCTCCTTCATGGATGCTTGAATTGAAGTTTCACCTTTTGCGGTCTAGGCAACACAGTGGAGTGCTTATGAAAACATGGTGTTGCTTGAGAAGCAAATTGCGTAAAGGTTTGTAAACGTTTTGGCAATCTCACACAGCAGGCTATCTACACTGCCGAACACTAACATGGACACCGAGAATGGCACCCTGAAAGACTGTTTTCCTCTACAAACCAGTGGCCTTCAGGTTCCATGTTAGTGTTCAGCAGGGTATCCTTCTCGTTCGGCCCCTTTCTTTCAATTCGATCGTCACTTCCAATCTGCCAGGCCCTGAAGACAATGGGTGCAGCACCTGTTGCTCGATGGCTCGATCGGAGAGGGGCAAAGTAAAAACAATGAAACTGATACGTATGTATTTAAATATTGTATAATATTCTATTTTTTTGTTTAAATAATATCGGATGACATAAGAGATCGGTAGAACTGTAAACATTGCGAGCACCCTCAAACAGGATCAAGCAGGTATAGATCTTTGAACACTGAGCAGGAAGCACGATCAGTCATGACTCATGGGTGCCATTTTCGAACTACTCGTAATTTGCTTGTCTTGGGCCAATTGCTGTCCAACACATCATGTCCTGAACTGGACAGCTTCGATGCCCCATTCGTGGCGCCATCCACCATCTTTGTCAGCTGGCTGGGCCCTTTGCTCTTCGCTGCATCCCAGGTGACTTCAGCTGCGCCCGCGGTGACCGCCTCAGTGACTGTGAAGGATCCTTCCACCAAAGAGGCGTCAGGCGCCCTACTCATCGCTGAAGACCGGAACGTGGGAGCGGCTTGGATAAAGACATTGGCAAGAGACATCGGTCGGTAAGACCTATGCCCAGACATTGAAGTCCCTGGTTGTTCCCCACCTGTCAGGTGAGGGTTGTTAGATTTTATGTCAGCTGGCGTCCTCCTCCTCGTCCTCCGTGTCGTCTCACCCGCGAGGTCTGCTTGGTAGCGTTCCCCGCCAGACCTCAACTGCGAGGGTCGCGTGGCAGTGTTCCCCGCCGGCCGGACCTCAACCGCCAGCTCCCGGGCGCACTGTGCGCTGCCGGACCACAACCAACACACAACCACAAGCACAAAACCACAAACACAACCGCAAACACAATCACAAATGCACAGCCACAAACACAACCACAAGCACAACCCCAAACACGTCTAGAAACACAAGCACAAACACAGCCACAACACACAACCACAAAGACACATTTACAGCACGAAGCCACAGCACACAACCACAACACACGACCACGGCAAACAACACAACCAACCGCAACACACAACCACAGCACAACACACAACCACAGCACACAGCCCGAGGACCCACAAGCAAAATCGATAACCACAAAACTCACGGCCATGGCAACATGCTCCTCACCATGGCATGAAGACAAATGATTGAAATGTGACGGTGGGGATCACTCGAAGTAAAGTACTTCGTTCACCACCTGTCAGGTTAGGGCTGTTAGATTATTTTAATAGATTTTATGTCAGCCGCACTCTGGCTCGCGGGGCTCGCCCGCCTCCGCCTCACCTCATCCGCGAGGGCCGCGCCGCAGTGTTCCCCGCCCGACCTCAACTGCACGGGCTGCGTGGCAGTGTTCCCCGCCGGACCTCAACCACAGCGTCGACTGGCAGTGTCCCCCGCCGGACCTCAACCGCGAGCGTTGACTGGCAGCGTTCTCCGCCAGACTTCACACAACCGCAAACACACACAATCAGAAACACAAACACAATCACACGCACACAACGACACAACCACAAACACACAAGTACAATTACAAGCACACAGCACACAATCACAAACACAGAACCACAAAGACACATGTACAGCACACAGCCACAGCACAAAACCACAGCACACAACCACAACACACAACCACAATCACGGCACACAACAACAGGACCCACAAACAAAGTCGAGAACCACAAAACTCCCATGGCATGAAGACAAATGATTGAAGTGTCGATGTGGGGATCACTCGAAGTAGAGTAATCTGTGTTTTAAAATTTGCGTTTGATTTGTTCAGTGGCCCAGCCAAGCACCTTCGGCCATTGAAACTCCATGTCTTTGGCCAATTGGTTTCAGGTTTTGAGCTTCCACGCCTATGCCTCATATTTTCAGCATGCCACGTCAAGCGGCAGTTTGGCTCTTGGTGCCTTGCTCTTCCTCACCGTGGCTCGACAAATTGGTGCCCAGCTTTGTGCATGTGAATGTCTCAAACCCAGCTTTGTGCAAGAACAGGGAAGGCCTGAAAACAAAAAACATATAGTGGTTCCAAATAGAATTTAAATCTAAAAAACAACATCCCATAACATCCCTCTCAAAAGGTGCCGGAAACCGTGCCACTATTTATTTGGGGACAACTAATACCTGCAAGACCTCGCCGTAAAAGGGGGCTCCGACTCCGGGCATCCCTCGGAATCCGTACGTCGACAAGGGTTCCTCCGCTTAGCACATGTTTGTGCAACGTTTGTTGGCAAAAGTTCAATCGCGCATGCATAATGGAATTAAGGTGCATACAAAATCATACACATTGCTATGAAATCTCAAAACCGTAGGGTTGAATTAGGATACCACGCCGACACACAACAACCATATAAGTAGAACTGTTGCCATGAAAGGCGTGGAATGGCTCTACGTTGTCCATTGCAGACTTGTGAAGTTTGATCTTGAAATTTCCGGACTGATGCCCATAAATTGTCATTTGAGCGAATCCAAGGAGGTCCAACTCTTTTCAGTATTGATGAACTTTGCCTCATGTGTGTTGTTTCCCTGGATCCTAAGAACGTCAAAGCGCCACCGCAACGGTTTTGGTCTGCCGCGGTCGGTCATCCACCGAGGTCTTTGGACTCGCCCTGCTGGCCGAAGGCTTTCGCACCTTCACCGAGGTCTGGGTCACCTTATGGACCTCCTCCGTGTCGTCTCAGGACCTGGCGCCTTCTCTGGATGATCCTGGATGGCTGTTTTCGAGCTGCCGAAGTCTGGTTCTCAATGAGAGTGTTCAGTCCAGTGTTCATCAGTGTTCAGATCTGTCCCAAGTGCGGATTCTGGGGGGAAAATATTCAGATCTTTCAAAGGAGCGACGACCTTCAACTTCACGACTGGAACACAGAACTCGGGGAAAAAAAACAACGTCATGTCAGGTCCTCGTCTCAATCACCTTCGCACCTCAGCTTTGGGCGAACCGAGTCGGTTCGGCGACCCGCCGACCCCGCCGTGGTGCCCCCAACATGGCGCCTGTGGCGTTCCAACGGAGGATGCCACAATTAGATCAGGTTTATGGAATTGATGGCGATGATGTGACATGGTGACCATTGAACATTGGTATTCACATGTAGTCACCTTGAAGTTAGTCAGCTAGTAGTGAGTATAGCAAGTATTCAGCCCCAGACTCACCAGAGAGAGAGAGAGAGAGAGTACTCAGCCCGTTGATCATGTGCAAACACCTCCATCAAGACCCATCAAGCACATCTAGGATTTGTCGAGCAAAACAACAACCACTCCCTTTGCTGAGTGGGCTTAATTGCAATGTTTTTCGATGTTGTTCGATCATTCTCAGATGACTCACCCACGTGACGCGTGCGCACATCTACGCAGGAGGCAGACATTGATGTGGGGTTTTGGGTGCTGGGCTATGGCTGTCACTTGGCCAGATGAATGAGCTGGGAAAGACTCCGAGATCGCGATGACTCACATCGCATCCGGATGAGGTTGGACAACCAGAGTGGCCTAGCCCCAAACCTGGCTTTCGACTCTCGACCAGGCCTCGCCGCGCTTTCCGAGGCATTGTTGTGGCCGTGCTGGTCATTGGGCTGATTCGGGCCATGGTCTTTAGCCGAATCGCGGCTGGGCGCAAGAACACACCGGCGGAGCTTTGGGGTAAATCTAAGTGTGTGACATAGAATGACATGGAGTTGTTCAGGTGCCTGATGGGTTCAGATAATTACAGTGGATTGAGAGTAGATGGCGTAATCCGCAAAGGTGGTTTATATGGACCCCCATCTTAAAGATTCTTAACGTATTCTAAGGGTTTGTGTAATGTACTCTGAAACCACTGTAGTTTCTGCATGTGTTCTTTTTTTTGGCAGCAGCAAGAACTCACATGGAGAGAGGCTCACTCAGGGAGTTGGACTGAGGGCCTCAGCTCCAGCTGGACAGTCCAAAGGAACGGCCTAGCCTGGGCCCACCGAAAGACAGCCTGGGCTAGAGGCATCTACGCAATCCACCGCTTAAACATCTTGGATTTCACTGTGCAAGTTCAAGCAGTTGTCGGAACCAGCAGCGCCAAATCCAACATATCCCAAGAATCGTCTGTCAGGCGGTCACATGTCCAGAACTCTCTAAATACGTCCGTCCTGGTAACCCAGGTGACCCAGATCGGTGGCGGCACCTTCCATTACATGGTGCAAAAGGCGGAGCGGGCTGAAACGGTCCGGCGAGGTGGCAGCAACGGTAGCAGAACCGGGCTGAAAGGTTCGTGATGAAAACGTTTTAGATGGTGAGAGGTTAACCATAGCTAACCCCACTAGTTGAGCCAATAGTCGACAGTATATTCAGAAAGTATTGGTGCATATTGCTGGAAGTCATGATCAATACATTGTTATTATTCATATAGTCATGTGCGTGCTTTGCCAGGGAATTTGCACGTAATATGCAACTGTGCTACTTCAAGGACAAACTTGACGATTGAGAGCAAGAGCAAGTTCGCTGTCCCGCTTAGCTCAGACAGACTCTCTCTCTCTATATATATATACAATATATATATATATATATCCAAGCTGGCGGCTGCTGTTTCCCGATTGGTTGGGATGCATCAGCTCAAGTACTGTAGTTCCTTGACAAACTAGAGACAGCCCCTGGCTGAGGGAGGGGGCGGATTTCACTGTAGAGAAGAATTCATCGGGACTTCCCCATACTCATGGGCCATCTCGTCGGACTTCCCCATACCAAACGGCATGCTCTCATGCCTTCCAAGCTCGGCACGCGGCGCGCGGCACAGGTGTTGAATGCTTCAGCTCCTTTGTTCTTTGATGTGGTCCCAGTGGGACGTATCCTGAACCGCTTTTCCAAGGAAGTGCACGCGCGGAACGGGGTGGGAGTGGCTCATGTTTTTTCACACATCGCCAGCCTGCTGTGGAACACATCGCCAACCCCCCTTGAAACGGCCTCCTGGGCTTCTTGTGGGTGGGCAGCCGTTCAGCTTGAAAAAGGGGGACCACTCCCGGCTTTCCGACGCCCACAGACGCCTTTCATGGGACGCTCGACGCTCGTGGGTCTGTTTGGGGTCGGGATGTGGCGAGCCTGCCAAGCCCCCTCTCCTCATGCGCCACTCAGAGTGAGAGGGAAGTCAGAGCAGGACTTGGACGCGATGGATACGATGCTTCCAGACACGTGGCCTTAGTTGGGAAGTGCATGTGTGAAGCGTTGCAGGGTTAGAAGCAGGTTCTCTTGCTCTACTTTGACTGAATAGACTTTGGAACTTGTTTAGCAGCCGCTGAGTTCTCCTGAGGAGTGCATGTCTGAGCTTCTCACCAGCTTCTCCTACATCCTCTCCAGCATGGTGATGTGCACCATGGTCCTGCGATCGCACTGGTTTCGATCAGGAGACATCCTTCGCGCCAGGGGTGAATGTGAGGGGGGACCTGTGGATATTCAGTGAATCTACGACGGCTCAATCATGACTCACAACATACACCACAGGTGCACCGCTCCAACAGGTACCAACCTCAGCATACTTCCTCCAACGGAAACGGACTGTGTCGGTATTAGAGCTTGGTCCATCAGCCGGCTATTTCTTGGGAAAGGGTGATCATTTTCAGGCCTTGATGGCCATTTGCCACCGGAACTACCAGAGATGTGATTGTGTGATCGTTATTTCATATCGTGCTGTCAGAGGATTCTCTTCTATCCTTTTCACATCCGAGAGTCCAATAGCCACATTCAGGAAGAAAACGCTCGCTCGCTCTGTACTGGTCCTGGTCGCTTTGTCGGGCCGGCGATGAAACCGAGGTGTCCACCTATGCCTTAGCTGGGTTGATCCCACTGTGCATGATCTTTATATACATTCGCAGGCGGGTGACACTGGGGGGAGACCCGACAGACGTCCATCGTTTCAGCGGGATCGTCCGACGTGCGACGTCGTATGGCGAGATGAAGGGCGGTTTCATCCCAGTCGTGTGCCACGTCGTCTTGGTGTCGCCCTGAGGGAAAAGAATAGGTTTCCCATTGTGACGTGCGACAGCTGCAGCTCGCGCGGAGCTGCGTCAGAATGTTGCGCTGTTCACATTTGACAGGTACTACGTTGCCAGCTTCCGAGAGCTTCAGAGGCTCGAGTCAGTGTCCAGGACCTTCCAAAGATGCTGAAGTCGAAGTTTCGGGGTGTCTCAACGTGTGGAAACGAGCATGCGAATGTCCCACAGCTTGGACCCAGTTTCGGTTTCTCCGTTGGAGCCCGTTTGGAGCGAATGGATGGGCTTTTCGGCACAGAATGAGATCCTTAAGATAATGGCAACATATATTGTACCATGCTTAGAGCTTGAGAGTCCAGAATCGTGAGATTGAAACAGCAAGAATCTCAAAACTGGATCAAGTGGATCCCATACTGAGGTCGTTTATTAACGAGCTTTGCTCAAAGAAACCTAGCAGAGCACAGTGGTCAACCTGGGTTGCCACCCCACCCGGCGGGCATGGGTCAATCATTCAATACAGCAACGGGTCCCGATCAATGGCAGATCTGAGCGGTCAAAGATCGGCGGGTGTCCAAGGGTTTCAGCATGTTTCAACCTCATGCTGGGTGAAGTTCGCCAAGCTGCCCCGTACGGAAGTTCAGCCGCTCAGTACCTGGTCAGGAGCTCCCTCTATGTACACTTCTCGGAGGTCTCAACCGGGCTGGTACATCTTCGCGCCTACGGCCTGCAAGAACGACTCTTGGATGGGACCTTCTGAGGCCGCCTGCGTGAAGCGGTCCGGTGTTCAGCTCCAGGGTGGGTAGTGACACCGGACCCTCCTGGTCCATACAGATCCGATCAGGTCCCGGAGCTGGTGACTGATTCGAGCATTCAAAAGCCCCTCATCTCGATGCTAAATTCACCATCGGTTTTTATTAATAGGAGTCTTGGATGAGGAGGTGTTTTTGCTTGAATTCTTCTTGCAGTGGGAAGGTGTCCAGTGGAATATGTTCCACCCCCTTTGTCAACTCGGTTCTGGGTCCAGAAAAGCACGAACTCCGTAAAGCAAAGACTCAGAGTTCATGGAGATAGTGTTACTTACATACTGCATCATACTGCTGAGTCTATGGAGGAAATTCGGAAGGCCGGATCATGAAATCGATTCATGAAGCTCCAGGCCTTACCCAAAGCCCACTATAGTTTCTTTCCGGATTCTGTGTTCGCATTCTATGTCTTTCAAATGAAGGCCCAGCCGCCTTCGTGTTGAATGTGTTTTTTGCGTTCTACAGGTGCCTTGCCTTGGTCGCATCCATGCGAAAATACAGTACATGTGATCCATGCGTGATCCCCACCGGCTTTGTGTTTTTGAAAGTAATCCAGGAAGCCAGCTGTGCACAGAGCACCCTGCAGTGCTGTGGCTCGTGCCGGCGGTACAAAAGCGCGTGTCATTTCAGTGTAGCACCTCAAAGCAAAGCGTGGGATTGAGGCATTCTGAGAATCTTCCGAGTGTGAAGAGCAACCACTGAGTCTTTGGAAATCTCTATTATGTGTTTATTGATTCTGTTTTTTGGGGGCTTTGAACAAGTCTAGACAGTCAATCATTATATTAAGTATATGTCATATGTCAATGTTGTTCCTTCGGGCGAGATCTCAATCGACACTGTCTGCAGAGCTGAAAAAAGCATCGACACTTCGCAAGCATTTCTCTCGAGGGAGTTCGGCCATGAAAACGCCAATGGCACCGAACTTCGAGGAGTTCCTGGACGCTTCGCTGGGCATTCTTCGAAATCATTTGCTGCAAGCGGCCCGGAGGCCAGGCGCGACCAGCTCAAGCGCCTTGGTTGCATGTGCCGGATGGAGGTCAAGATGATTGGAGGTGAACAACATGAGTGGTTGATAGTGCTGGATTTGCATACATGCTTGAGAATCAACATCAGCTTTAACACATATCGATGCAAGTGAGTATGTTAAACAGTGCGATGACCTCGGTAAAGGCTCACAACAACATGTGTGGGCCGGGCATGATGTGAAGAGTTGTGATGCAAGCGATGGATGTTATGGATTCAGATTGGGCGGCCTTACTTGGTTCCAACATTTGGGTCCGAAAAACCAGGGAGTTAGATCATGCTATGGATCTGTTTAATTTGCGAGATTCTGGAGCAGGGAGGTGCACCATGTGATCTTCCAGCCAGCCCCCTTGACTTAGCTTATTACCTATGTCGTCATGACCACGAACGACCACGATGGATAGCAACCGGCGGTTTCGAAGAAGACACGTTCCTCATATACAGTAATGGACACCAGGAACCCATTGAGAAAGAACAGCGATCAGAATCGAACAAATGGAGACCTTGAGCACCAATGGGCTCAAGAATAGTTTGCTCTCATACCTTTGTGGGCATTGCTTGCATGGTGATGGTAGGAAGATGTATGAAGCATATGTTTGGGAGATGTTTCTCTTTGTTTGTTTCTTTGTCTTTGTCATGTTTTGCAAGGCTCTCAGTCCACATTCGAGTATGACTTGCAGAGACTCCACGGGGCACCCTTGACTGCAAGCCTGGAGGTGCAACAGGTCGCAAGCGTGCTGGACTCCATGCCTTCGCCCTATGGCCAGGTGGAGTCTGACCCTTCTGATACCGTCCCGGTGATTCCAGACATCGAGGAACGCTCCAGGCTGACTGATACCGTCCCGGTGGTTCCAGACATCGAGGAACGCTCCAAAAAGACCAGCGTGGTGTCGGAGAAATCGGTGGAGATGGACACGCCGGGCATCGCGCACGGAGACTCCTCGGCGATTTTGAATTCCAACCTGTCGGAGATGAATGAAGCTGAGAAGAGTGCCATTCGCCATCGGCTCCGCGCACGCTTGGGGCAGGTGAGCTCCAATAAGCTGGTGTCGGGCAAGTCGCTGCATGAGGCGATTTGCGCACTGGGCTTGACGCGTTACAGCGAAGAGAATGTGAACCTCGGATTTTCTGGACCTTTTTTCTTTATCTGGAGTCGAATCCCAAACCACCTTTTTTTGGGGTGGAGTTGGCGCTGGGACCCGGTGTTGGATATGAGATCCTGGAACCATTGGCCTCTTCTGATGTTCCACATTGCATCACCATGAATCTTTTGTTCAGTTGTGCTGGCTTGTTGTCCTACCGTGTTTCCCACATCAATCTCTTTCTCTCTCAGCCACTGATGTGTACAGTACATACATATGATTATATATTATATACACTATGTAACTATGTACATGTTATTATATGTGTGTTGTATGTTTATTTGTCTACCGATGTTTACAGCATATAGAAGGCCATGAAAAACCTGCCTATGGGTGACCACAGGGTGACCACCAGATTTTCTTCAGGGGCGCGGTCCTCTTACTGTAATTTAAATCGCCGCATTTAAGCAGCAACAACAACAACAACAGTGTTCGGCAGGGGACGCAGTCAGACGCAGCGATTTCAGGAATGACCTTTTGAATCACTTGGCCTCCTTCATCGATTTGAGATTCGACGAGCCGGAGGACACCTGGTCCGGTTCCATTGCATCCTTTTCCATCCTCGGCATGAAGACACCGATATCCACTTTGGGTCCTCCAGTTGGCTGGCATTTGATTGGAAATCAGCTGTGCAGAAGGACCTCCCTTGAGTAAACTGGATCGTCCCCAATAGTAAGATGAGCCTTCATTCATACCAATCATTTCACGCTTGCTCAAGGAAGGGACCATTGTCGTTTTTGCTTGTGAAGGGACCATGCCACCAACACTGGTTGATCAAAGACTCTTTGAGGGCAACTACTACGCCCCATCATTGCAATGCTAAATATGATACGCTCGGTTCCCTAGACTCCGAGGAATGACGGGAATGAGCTATTTCAGTTTGGGCATAAGTTATTTTTTAATCATGCCCCCTGTAGAACGGAGCCGATCGCATGAACAAAGCGGTGATGTCACCAGGCTGTCGCCTCGGACGAACGCACCAAAAAGACATCGATAAGTGGTCACTGCTGTGTTTTGGAAAGCAGGGCCGGGCCACTTCGAATCTCCTCGACCTATGGGCATTGAAGCTTTTTTGGGGGACACTTGATCTTACTCGCACCCCGGAAAAGACTACTGCCCAGGTTCGTGAATCGCTACACGTCCAAACGTCCACCGCAAGAAAGTCTGACTTTCCCGGCGGCAGTTGAGGTTTGGGAATGGCCCAGTGACGTGGCGGGAATTCCTCACGGTGCCTCCTCACGTAGCATCTATCAGAGTTACCACTCAGAGACTTGGCAAGCCACAGCCATTGGCTTTTACTGAACGCGGGCTGCCCGACGAATATAATATAACATAATATATATAACTATATATATATTATATATCGTGAGCGTGGGTGATTCGATCAGAGCAACAGTTCCCGGTCGATTTGAATGTTCGACCGGGAGAGGTCGCCGAGTCGAGCGCCTTCGGGAAAGTTTAAGGAGACGAGTCGGGCCACGTCAGCTGCGTCGAGCCACGTCAGCTGTGTGTTGCAATGTGTGTGTTTTTTTTAGTTATGTTTCTTTATTCTATGTATAGTATAAGTATATGTGTATATATATATATATTGATATCTGTATCAATATTGATGTTTGAAGTTTGATGATGTTTGTTGATTTGTTTGGACTGTTTATGACTCTACTCTACTAGTCATGGAATGTCATGTGCATTGGGTTGACTTCTAGTGCTGTCTAGTGCTATTGTTCTATGCCAGCACCGTGGCGCGGAGTCAATAAGATATGAAACACATTGAAGCACAGACCGTAGCTGCAACCCCATCTCGCTTTCACACACCCTTTCGCTATTTTTCACTGGTGTTCCTCCTTTGTCAGAATGTTGCTGTCACCTTCCCTGTCAAAGTGATGTAGTGAAGGTGCCATGGGGTCAAGCTTTCCACCTAGAGAAGAACATGGTTTCCTATGATGCAGCCCTATGTTTCCCTCCTGTTTTAAGATTTTGACCTGCTTTAATTACCTTGTGACTCGCAAATCTTTGAGGTGTCCAAGGTGAAAAGCCGACCACTTGGGTGCTAACCGTGCAGTTTGGGTCCAAGGGTGCAGACTCGAACAAGACTGACCTTTCAACGAGCTCCAAGCTTTCGTCGGTGGTCCAAGATTTCCAGGTTTTTGGTTGACGCTGTTTCGCTTTCGATCCAGATGTGCGGAGAAGTCTCACGTTCTGAAGGACACCCCGGACGCCATGGTACGACAGTCGCAAATGCCTTCAGGAGAGGGCGCCGACCGTCACTAAGAACCTGAACGTGGTCCCATTGGGAGCGTTAATGGAGCTCTTTCTGGCCAAGGAGGGGGATGTGCAGAAAAAGATTTTCGGGAAGCAACTCGTGAAACAGTTCAAGGCCATGAAAGAAGCTTGGTCCGGCTTGGCTGTTATTCCAGTGGCCATTGGCTTTCTGATCAGCAGTTCTTCGATCATAGCACCAGGGGTTTTGAGAATGTGTCAACCACAGACTGAGATTCACATGGGTTCACTCACAGCAGTTGGTCCACAATAGAGAAGCGTGCAAGAAGGGTGATCGTTTGACCCCTTTAATTCGGTCGGTTCTCACATGTTTTGACCAACTGGTTTGGAGCATGATTCTTTTCCAAGCCCACATGTTTCAACCTAATCTCCCAGCCCAGTGCCCCTCCACAAAAGCACCTTCCTGCCCAAGGAAATCCTGCTGGCTGGAGACACGAACCGTTTGGTGGCGGAGCTCACCTGCGTGCGCATCAACGACCTCGCTGAGGCCCCGGAGCCGATCCCCATGTTGGCGTATCTCGAGCCCTTTGTGTCTTGGGATTGAGGGGAGCGGGGTGGTCCTTTGGAATCCTTAGAAAGCGTGCGCTTTCTTCGGAGCTTTGAGACAAGGCCAATTTGCCATGCCTGGCTAGGGGAACCAAGGATCACTGAGGGCATGGAGCGGCAAGCAAATGTGTATAACAAGACAATAGATTAGAATAATATATAAGCATTGTTGGCAACAATTCCATGCTGCCGCCAATTGTGTGTTGAAGGCATTAAACCTCCTGGAAAACCATAAAGCACATGTTGTTCGATAAATTATGATAAATTTATTCATTCTTATACTCTTTCCAGTTCCACGATATTTGTTGGGGTGAGGGCAAGCGCATCAATTTTGACGATGGTTTATACAGAGTCCGGATTCAGATCATCAAGACTCTCATTGTTCGATCCATCCCCCGATTCCTCAGCATGAATGCTCCTGGCGGGGTCCACCAGGGTGTTTCGTGGAGACATGATGACGGAAAGCGCTGTAGCGCTTGGAAGTATTACCGAAAGGGAAGGGGGGGGG